GTTTAATCACATTTATTAAATTAACTTAAGGGGTAGTTCAATCATTATAATAATTTGAGATTTTAAATTAAAAAATTTAAATTTAAATTTTCAGTTGGATGAAAAAAGATTTAGAAAAAAAGAAAATTATTTACTCTTATATAACCTATCATTATTATATTAAAAAAACACATTTATTAAAACATTAATGTACTAACATTTTACAGTATTGAAATCACATTAGATTCGAGCATGTGCAGATGTGTGTTGGCTATTAAATTAAATCAAAGTATTTAAACCGTGTACTGTGTACCCGTTTATGCCAACAGATTTGCAATTCTGTAAGATTTAGTACACTGATTTCTATTATCTGTTTTCTTTTATGGAAATTATATGGTACTAATAAAAATACAAATCCTTAATCCCACTTATCCCTCTTTCGGAGTCTAACGATTTAATAAGCATCCACGTCATTCACTGGTTTTATTTTATTTTATTTTATTTTTTTTATTTTTATTTTTTTAACAGCATCCACTATACACATAAATTGAATTTGAAAAAAAAGTGTTAACAACATTAAGAAAAAAATAAAGAAGCAAATATCATGTTTTTAAGGATTCCAATGCAAATCTTGAAGTGTTTGATTCATTAGTCAATCATTATTATCTTGTAAAAAAAATTTAATTTTCAAGTTTTAAGGTTAATATTTAGTATGTTTGCTTGAGAGGAGACCAGTTACTACATTATTTTTTAATTTTTTTTATTCATTCAAATAAAGAGACGAAAAGAGAGGAAAATAAAAAGATACAACATCATTTCATTTCATTTCTTTCTTTTTTATTTTTCTCAAAGCAAATATACTAAATTAAGGACATTAATTTCTTTAACTATGGTTATAATATGTTCTTAAAAGATCTCTCTTGATTTAAACTTGAGTCATGTGAAAACTTTGTTTAAAAATATTTTGACCATGAAAAACATAATAGAAAATAGAAAAGTGAAGTTGCAGTTTGCTCTAGTTTTTTTTTTTTTTTTAACAAATTCGTAAGGGGTCGGATTCGAACTGTTACCTTGGGTAGAGGAATGTACCTATACGTGACCTGGCGTCACTGAATCTGAAAGCCTAAGTGCTGCAGTCTACTCTATAGTTAGGCACCTGCTTTTTATTAATAATTAATTATTTTACAGTTTGTGTGAAACGCACTACAAAAATACATTCTGAATAAAAAAATCTAAACTCCATACAACAGCATAGGAAATGCCAAAAATCAAAATACTTCATGTTCTTTTTTTTCTTTGAATCAAAATTTTCGCCCTACGCTAAAATTCTCATATATATATAATCTGAATTAGAGATGTCCACCATAGGTTAAAGGATCTTAGAAATGTAGAGAAAAACCAATAGGATGGCCTATCCTGTAACGATGACGTTACAATTTTTTTAATAATTAACGTTAACGTGAACCAGAAATATTGAACTTGATTATTAAATTTTAAGATTTTATGAGTAAACAAGTTTATTGTTTCTTTTTTATTTTTATTTTTTTGCCTTCAAATATGTTTATCGTTGATTATTTTGTTGCAATTTAAAACAAACTTAGGAATTAACTAGGAAATTTTAATAAAACAAATTGACGTGGACATTACTTCAAAAGGAATTTTTGAACGGTCGAGGACCTTTTCAAACTTCAAATGTCATTAACTTTTCAATTGAAGAAGAGTTGCGTCATGTTAATGAATCCTCAAGTGATAGAAGATTAATATATAGATTTAAGCCTCACAATTTTAGGGTTCTATTTTCAATTCTTATGTATCCAGATTTTCTTCAAATTTGTTAAGTCTGTTTTGAGATATTTAAGAGTGACTTCCCAGTTATATTAAGATTTAGAAGAGAAGGGGAGGAGAATGAGATAAGCAGTTTTTCTTCTTACGTGGATAAAATTATTAATAATATGTTTGGTTTAAAAGAAATAAAGGAGAAGGAACGAGAGAGGAGGAAAATTTTTTTTTTTATCAATTAAATTAAAAAAATCTTAATTATTATAATTTAATTGAATGAAAAACTCTTATCTACTCTTCTCTCGCCTCCCCTCCCCTCTATTCTCTAAGGAGAAGGACAGGTAATGGAACCTCTTTAAATACTTTATTTCTAATTCTCTAATTCAAGAGAATTTGAAGGAACTGATTTTATTTTTTTATTTTTAAAATGTAATTAAAATTCTTATTATAAATTTAATCAATAAAATTATGAAATTTTAATTAATTTTATAATATTTTCGGAGTTAATCTTTATACGTCTTATTTCTTAAAGATTAAAAAAATTATTTTAAAATTATACTATTTTGAAGAGAATTTGAAGGAACAAATTTTATTTTTTTATTTTTAAAATGTAATTAAAATTATTATAAATTTAATCAATAA